TATGTCTTGTTGGTATTTTTGGTTGAGGTTCCGAAGGCCTCGGGGTGATTTCGAGTGATTAACGGAACAAGTTTGGATATCGGAGGATTGCTGAAGTTGGAACTCAGCTGTCATAATCGCACCTGCGGATGTCTCATCGCAGGTGCGAGCCCGCAGAAGCGAGCGGGATGTCGCAGATGCGAGGTTGGAGGAGCTGGGCAGAAGGCGCAGGTGCGATGAAGTTCCCGTACCTGCGAGGCCGCAAAAGCGCACAAGAGGTCGCAGGTGCGGACAATGTTGAGGTAGGCTGGGTCCGCAGGTGCGTAGGGTAGGTTGCATCTGCGAGTCCGCATATGCAGATAGATAACGCAGAAGCGGAAGTGAGAAAGTCAAGCAGTGGCCACATGTGCGAGGTATTTTTTGCACTTGCGTGGTCGCAGATGCGGAAATGGAGCGCAGGTGCGGAGTCTAGGCGTTTAAGTGACTTGCACAGGTGCGTCTATTTAGACCGCGGGTGCAGGGGCATAGAAGCGAGAAATTGTCCGCATGTGCGAAGAAGCCTCGGCAGAAACAATAAATAGAACCCTTCGCGAATTTGGTTCATTTCCACCATTTTCAAGTCAGTTTTTGGAGTGATATTTGAAGGGTGATTCAAGGGCTATCAGTGAGGTAAGTTGCTTGAGCCCTAATGCTCGTATATATGGTGATTTCCCGTTGTTTAACCATGTAATTAGTGAAAATGAGGGGTTAGGGCTTGGGATTTTGGAGAGTTTAATTTAAGGATTTGAGGGACCAAACGATGTCGGATTTTGATAAATTTCGTATGTATGGACTCGTGAGTGGATGAGCTTCCTAGTTTTGTAAATTTTATCAGATTTTGAGACGTGGGCCCGGGGGGAGGGTTGAGCCAATTTCGGGTTTTGGGCTAATTTGATAATTTTTCTTGTGAAATTCTTTCCATTAGCGTATATTGATGGCATTGCACTGATTGTGAATAGATTCGGAGCATTTGGAGGCCGAGTCGAGAGGCAAGAGCATTGCAGGGGTAGAGATTTGACCGGTTTAAGGTAAGTAACGATTGTAAATCTAGTCCTGAGGGTATGAAACCCCAGATTTCGTATCATTCTACTATTTTGAGGTGACACACATGCTAGGTGACGGGCGTGTGGGCGTGCACTGTTGGGGATTGTGACTTGATCTATCCCGTAGCAACTGTAAAGTTGCATATTTTGTTGAAACTATATAATACTTATATATTTTAGAAAGAGTTTCTGTAAATTGGGCTGAATGCCATGTTTTGGGCCTTGTGCCAGTGCTGTTTGGACCCTTAGAGCTTTTTCTTACTATCCTTTCACTGTTTTCGATTGAAAATCTATACTCAGTCATGGTTATACCTGTTTACTACATAACTCAGTTTTATTACTCTGTTTTAATGCATATATATGTTGTTTTGGGCTGAGTACCCTGTTTTTACTGAGAGCCCGAGTGGCTTAAGAGGTTTATAACTGAGTGAGGCCGATGGCCTTATTTGTGAGGATATTTATGGGATCGGGCTGCACGCCGCAACATGTTTGATATAGGCCGAGGGCCTGAGTGATTTATGCCATGATTTGGCTTGAAATAGCGCTTGGGCTGAAAGAGCCCCTCCAGAGTCTGTACACACCCCCAGTGAGCGCAGGTACCTACTGAGTGCGAGTGACAAGTGACTGGGAGGCATGAGTGATTGTGAGGTATGCCCGAGTGGCATGAGTGATTGTGAGATATGCCCGAGAGGCATGAGTGATTGTGAGGTTTGCCCGAGGGGCTGTATATGAGTGATGTTTTGCCCAGGGGGCTGTTTATGATTTCATCATTTTTGCTCATCTTTGCATTGAGCCTCTATTTGAAAAACTGTTGAAAAATATCTTTAAATGATTTTTCTGGAACTGGGTTTAAACGAGATGATTTGATTCAAACACTGATTTTTAAAGCATGCTGTACTTTACTGAATTTTCGTGATATGAAATTTATATGTTTTATTGCTCGTCACTACTGCTCAGTCTTTATTTATTATTGTTACTTACTGAGTTGGCATACTCACATTACTCCCTGCACCTTGCGTGCAGATCCAGGTATAGCTGGACACGGTAGCGGCTGTTGATTATTTGGGTTGCAGATTTTCTCGGGGATAGCAAAGTAGCCGCTTGGCGATCGCAGCCCCTGTTCTTCTCCCTCTTATCTTTCTTTAGTTGTATTTAGCTATTTTCCAGACTATGTTAGTCTCGATATTATTAGACAAATTGTAGTAGATGCTCATGACTAGTGACACCCCGATGTCAAACTTTTCTTTTCCGCACTTTTGTTTTGATTTGAACTCCTTTACGAAGTTTTTTTTTAATGTTAAATAGCCTTGAGATCTTCTTGAAGTAAAAATATCGGTTGTTTTGGAAAATGAGTCGGCTTGCCTAGTTCCACGATAGGCGCCATCACGACAAGGGTTAGTTTGGGTCGTGACAATTATGCCTTCGTCGAATGTGACGAGATTTCCCGTTATACATAACGCTCCCAACCCTTCCTATTATTGCTTGACTGTCGCAATGTATGCATACAGGTGCCAAGGTTTGGGCCAAAATGGAATATCTTCTAAGAAATTCCGGAGCTATTCAGCTTCTTCACCGACCTTGTCTAAAGCTATAAACTTAGACTCCATTGTAGAGCGGGCGATGCATGTCTGTTTGGACAACTTCCAAGACACTGCTCCTCCACCAATGGTAAAAACGTATCCACTTGTGGATTTTGATTCCGTTGATCCGGTGATCCAATTTGCATCACTATATCCCTCAACAACTACGGGATAATTATTGTAATACAATGCATAGTCTTGGGTATATTTCAAATATCCTAAAACTCATTTCATTGCTATCCAATGAGCTTGGTTGGGATTACTTGTGTATTGACTAAGCTTACTTATGGCACAAGCTATATCAGGTCGTGTACAATTCATAATGTACATAAAACTTCCCAACACTCGAGCATATTCCAATTGAGACTTGCTTTAACCTTTATTCTTTACAAGAGTATGGTTTAAATCAATTGGCGTTTTTGCTTCTTTAAAGTCCAAATATTTGAACTTTTCAAGTACCATTTTAATATAATGAGATTGAGACAAAGCTAAACCTTGAGGAGTTTGAAGGGTCTTAATTCCCAAAATTAAATCGGCAACTCCTAAGTCTTTCATATCAAACTTACTAGTAAGTATGCGCTTAGTAGTATTTATGTTAGCAATGTCGTTACTCATTATCAACATATCATCCACATATAAACATACAATTACTATTTGATTTGGAGTATTCTTAATGTAAATACATTTGTCATACTCATTGATCTTGAAACCATTTGACAACATTGTTTGGTCAAATTTCGCATGCCATTGTTTTGGTACTTGTTTTAGTCCGTAAAGTAACTTAACAAGTCGACACAACTTCTTTTCTTTTTCGGAAACTACAAACCCTTCAAGTTGTTCCATATAGATTTCTTCCTCTAAATCTCCATTTAAGAAGGCTGTCTTTACATCTATCTGATGGATTTGAAGGCTATACACGGCGACTAATGCTATTAACACCCGGATAGATGTAATCCTTGTTACCGGCGAGTATGTGTCAAAGTAATCAAGACCTTCTCGTTGTCTAAACCCTTTAACAACTAATCTTGCCTTATATTTGTCAATAGTACCATCAGCTTTCATTTTCTTTTTGAAAATCCATTTAGAATCCAAAAGTTTATTTCCCGAAGTAAGATCAACCAATTTCCAAGTATGATTACTTAATATGGATTCTATCTCACTATTGACTGCCTCTTTCCAATATTGTGCTTCCGAGGAAGACATTGCTTCTTTGAACGTTTGAGGCTTATTTTCCAACAAAAATATCAGAAAGTCTGGTCCAAAGGAAGTAGTTGTCCTTTGACGTTTACTACATCTTGGATTTTCCTCATTAAGCGTACTTTCCTTTTCTTCTTCTCGAGGTCGCTTAGATTTTTCACTAGACGACTCACATTTATTTTTATACGGAAAAATATTCTCAAAGAATTCAGCATTATCGGATTCGATTACCGTATTAATATAAATGTCGGGATTTTCTGATTTATGAACTAGAAAACGATATGCTTTACTATTTCTTGCATATCCTATGAAAATGCAATCAACCATTTTCGATCCAATATTCACCCTTTTGGGTTTAGGAATTTGCACTTTAGCCAAACACCCTCATACTTTAAAATATTTTAAGTTGGGTTTCCTACCTTTCCATTTTTCATATGGAATAGATTGCGTTTTGTTATGGGGAACTCGGTTGAGTATTTGATTTGCTGTAAGAATAGCTTCCCCCCATAAATGCTGGGGTAAACCTCAACTTATCAATAAGGCATTCATCATCTCCTTTAATGTTCTATTCTTTCTTTCCGCAATTTCATTAGATTGCGGTGAGTAAGGGGCAATTGTTTGGTTAATAATGCCATATTCCAAACATATTTCTTAAAAAGGAGATTCATATTCACCACCCCTATCACTTCTTATCATTTTGATCTTTTTGTTTAGTTGTGTTTCAACTTTATTTTTGTATTGCTTGAATGCCTCAATTGCTTCATCTTTACTATTAAGTAAGTAAATATAGCAATATCTAGTACTGCCGTCAATAAAAGTTATGAAATACTTTTTTCCACCGCGAGATGGTATTGACTTCATGTCGCAAATATCTGTGTGAATTAAGTCTAAAGGATTTGAATTTCTTTCAACTGACTTATAAGGATGTTTAACATATTTTGATTTCACACATATTTGACATTTCGAGTTATTGCATTCAAACTTAGGCAATACTTCCAAATTAATCATTTTTCGCAAAGTTTTGAAGTTGACGTGGCCTAAACGTTCATGCCATAAATTATTTGACTCAAGCAAGTAAGAAGAAGCTGAAATTTTATTCATATCAATGGCAATTACATTGAGTTTGAAAAGGCCCTCCGTAATGTAGTCTTTTCCTACATACATTTCATTCTTACTAACTACAACCTTGTCGGAAATAAAAACATACTTAAAGCCATTCTTGACTAGAAGTGATGTCGAGACTAAATTCTTTCGCATTTCAGAAACATGAAGGACATCATTTAGAGTCACAATCTTGCCAGAAGTCATCTTCAAAGCTATCTTGCCCGTTCCTTCAATTTTTACAGTAGCGGAATTTGCCATAAAAAAATTTTCGTTGGGTCCAGCGGGAGCATAAGAAGTAAACAACTCCTTGTCCTTCTTTGGCGCACGGCATTCAGCAGCCTTGTGTCCAACCTTTTCACAGTTGTGGCAATTACGTTTGAACTTCTTTTTGCTTGGGTAATTCTTTGGACCAGACGACTTCTTTCTCTTTTTGCTTGTTAAAGCTTCCTTAACAATATTTACACCCATAATTGTTGAATTTCCACGAGACTTCTTCTCAGCAGCCTTGTAGTCCTCTTCAATCCATAGACGAACAATAAGGTCTTCAAGCGTCATCTCCTTGCGCTTATGTTTCAAGTAATTCTTAAAGTCCTTCCACAGCGGAGGCAACTTTTCCATAAATGTCGCAACTTGAAACGCTTCATTTATGATCATACCTTCAATAATAAATTTATAATTAGTAAAATAATCAATATCTTGAATAAAAATGTTGACTCGATTTATACCTTCAACAAGGAGGTCATGAGCAATAACTTGCAATTCTTGGACTTGCGTTATGACAGATTTATCGTCAACTATTTTGAAATCCAGAAATTTGGCGGCCACAAACATCTTTAGTCCAGCATCTTCAGTCTTGTACTTCTTTTCAAGAGCATTCCACAATTCTCTTTATATTTTCATGACGCTATAAACATTGTACAAGCCGTCTCCCAAGCAACTTAAAATATAGTTTTTGCATAAGAAGTCAGAATGCTTCCATGCCTCAGTGACCACAAATCGCTCATTTTCAGGAGTTTCTTCTCCTAGAACTGGAACATCTTCGCTGATAAAGCGCTGTAAACTGAGTGTGGTCAGGTAGAAGAACATTTTCTGCTGCCAACGCTTAAACTCCACACCGAAAAACTTTTCGGGTTTTTCTGCCGGTGCAGGAGTTGTGCGATTTGAAGACGCAGTTGCCATTGCAGCAGAACCATTCTGTTGTTCCGCACTTGTTGTCATTTTTCTGTAAACGAAATTGACAAACAGAATTAGTATCTCGGTGAAGTTTTTATATCTTCAAAACGAATACAAGCAATCTTGTTTTTATATCTCCGATTGAGTAGAAAGTCACAAAGACTTTAATCTCAAACTGGAGTAGAAAATCCGAAGATTTTAATCTCCAAAACGGGAGTAGAAAATCAAAAAGCTTTTAGTCTCTCAAAGCAGAAAGTAAGATGAATACAGAAATAAATATTAAATTCCTTAAGCTTGTTGTCATTCTGTATTCAAAACCAGTAAATCAATAAACGTTAGTTTAAGGAAAAAACAAAGCAGAGAAAATTTCGAGCCCACAAGTTTCTTGTGTTTCCTTAAGAAATTTAATCCCCTCATAATGCCTAAAGTTGCGGATTAATTCCTCCTAGGATAGAACGGAATAACTATTCTGTGATAGCGGCACTTCAAATCATATAATTTCGGCGAACTCAAATGGCGGAGCAAATCACATAAAATGCTTACGTTTTGCTTTTGAAAAACCAATGCAGTATGCAGAAAATTGAGGGGAGAGATTTCAGATTTTTCAGTGGTAGAAAATAAGGCTAAGCCTCTCTATTTATAGACAATGAAAGGGTGAGATGAAGAGGTGCAATCCAAGAGGTGCCTCTTCTATTTTTCATTCACACCCCAATGAAAGGGTGAGATGAATAGGTGCAATCCAAGAGGTGCCTCTTCTATTTCCCATTCACATCCAAGAGGTGCCTCTTCCATTTCTCATTCACACCCCTTAATAAAAACGCAACAATATCTAAAGAGGCATTCTGGAACTCATAAGGGATTAACTTAATTATCTATCTCATTCATGAAGTTAATAATTAAAAAAAAAATGATTAATAGAAGAATCTATGAGGAACTGATCACTTTTCATTGGACAAACACTTCTAATGTAATGGCCTTCTTTCTTGCAATAAAAGTTTACATGCCCCTTTACACCCTTTACATGTTAAAATATTTACACTTTTTTGTATAGTTTAACTGGTATAGCACGTTATTATTTTTATCTTACAACTTATTATATTAGGCTTGGTATTATGAGTTACTTGTTTTAACTCAACTTAACTTGATAATATAAAAGTCCTTCAACTTTTCATTAACTAGGTAAATAAAATTTAGTGCAACAAATGAATGTTGAACACTAGTAGTTAAAAGATTTAAGAGATTTTGATAAAACAAAAATTAAAAGGGGCATAATAAATTGTCTTCTACAAAAAAAAGTAGTTGTCGCTAAAAACAAATATAAAATCATGAATCATGCATCACACTATATTAATCTCTTTCAATCTTAGGTTAGTGTACCCAATCATATTTTCTTTTATATTCCTTTTGGGACGAAGTAATAAAGGTTTGAATTTGATCTAAAACCTCCTTTTCACGTCTTAGAAAAATAAAAACTTCCTTTTCTTCCATTTAATATACTCCTAGTACTTAGAATTAGTGATGAGATTTCTCAAGAAAGGAATTTTTTTTTATAAAGTGTGGGGGCCAGAATGACACGTAGAGAGTATTGCAAAAACTCAATTATTGAATATGCTTTAGACAATTGGACAATCTTATCTTAAACTTGGTTTTCTGAAATTGATTACCCAATCAAATTATCTTACTATTATTTAAATAGAAGTTTGAAACTACCGCGTTTCTTAACTCAACTAGTTTGATTCTGAATATAGTACATCACTTAGTTCAACTACTCAGTTCAATACCATTCATAGGGTTTACTCCACCTTAAAATCGTGTCATTCTTGATTCTTGAAGCTCCAATAACTCTCCCTAGCAACTGGTACTATTTATTTTTCCTTTTATTTATTTCTTTTGTTCTTTTTAATCCTGTATATGTACTTTAAACTACACAGAAACATTTCCTTTTTTATTTTATTACAGATTGTGCAATTTGATCGGAAGAGATGGGTGGGTTTGAGTTAAGATGGGTTGTAAGAGTAACTGTTGTACTAATGATGGTTCCAAAGATTCTTGGTTGGGGAAAAGAAGGACACTATGTTATCTGCAAAATTGCTGAGGTAACTGAATTTTTTTTTCTTTTTAAACTTTTTTGCTGGCCATTTTTTTTCTTTCTGTTATGTACTTTTTGAGTCAATTCTTGAAGAGATTGAATGTTTGGATAAAAGGGTTGTTTAATTTTTGTTATTTTTTATGGATTTAGTCATAAAGGTTGAATCTTTATGTACTTAATTGCAGGATCTTGTGTTGACTAGTTACTTGATTTTGTATTTGGCATTTGCCTGAATACATCGAGTGTTTTGAGAGGTTTTATGGGTGTCCATCCATTGTTGCAGATAATTGTTTGTAAGGAAATGAAAGAGAAGGAAATAGCAAAATAGAGAGAAAAAGATCGTTTTTCATTCGTTCATCAATGCTTTATAATTGTGATTACAACTGAATATGAACAGTGTAGTAGTAGTAGTCTGAATTGAAATTACCATCTTAACAAACTGAACTAGGGTGCTAAAGAAATAAAAATGGAAATTGGGACTATACTGTTAATGATGGAAACTCTGACATACTATTTCGGAAGCTCATGGTACTGCTACATAGTTTTTGCTAGAATCATCTGATTTGGAGGTTACTTGATCTGGCAATTATCTAGTGACATAGAATGTAATTTCCCAGGATACAATCAAATTTTCAACCCAGAAGGATCTTTTCTAATCTAGATCTCTTTTCAACATAATATTCCCATGTATCAAATGTGCTATTTCTGGGAAGTAGTGTCTATATCAGAGAATTTGGGGCCTCCATTTGGTTTTTGCCTTTTCATATTTACCCCCTTTTTAATTCAGTTTTGTTGATGTTCTAAAATAGATAGTCTTTGTGTGCTTCAAGTAATCAGGTACTGGATGAAGATTCTTGTTAGACATTCATATAAACTTGCTTGGTTGAAGCATATATTATATTGACTGATTTTATCTAAAATTTGACACTGCACTTCAAATTGAATTAAGTCTTTAGTATTTTTCTTTGAGTTTAGTGTTTAGATTGTCAAGGAAGTAAGCATATGGAAAAGGATCGCCAATTTTTTTTTTTCAAAAAGTTTGGTCGAGCAAGCTCTTTTATTGGGAGTTAATGTGAATCTTGGGCCTTTCAGGAATATCTAACAGAAGATGCTTTAGCTGCAGTCAAAGAGTTACTCCCAGATCAAGCTGAAGGTGATCTTGCAGCTGTCTGCTCCTGGGCCGATGAGGTTAAGCACCACTACCCGTACTACCGCTGGAGTTCTCCATTACATTATGTAGATACCCCTGATTTCTTGTGCAATTACAAATATTGCCGTAAGTGACACTGCTTATAATTGTACTATATAAATATTTGTTAATTTTTTGGTTCATGTTTAGCTATTCATCTTTGGTATCAAGACTTTATCCCTAGAAATCAATTGAAAAGAGAGGTACAGTAAAAGTTTTATAAGTCGTGTCTGCATTTCCTATTATTATTTGGTGCACTGAAGTCAATGTACCTCAACTGGATCCAGCGTTTCGTAGTTGACATTTTTTTCTGTAATAACGATGAACCCTGATATGACTTATGAAGATAAACTTTTAATGCCGCGCTTTTATATCTTAGNGGGAACCTTGGTATATGTAACTGTAAATAAACATAAATGTATGAGTAAGCATATAAATGTTTGGAACTATTGATAAGTTTCTTTTAGTCTTAAATAACAATGTCCATACTGCTATACCTCTGGTGTAGAAATACACCGTATAACTGATGAAAGAGTTATCCACGGTACACGGAATTGAACCATTGGAAATGACATCATTAATTTTCTCTTCATAAACCAGTTGTTTGTTTACCTCCTATCGTGCGGATGTCTTGATTATGATCATGAGACAGGATTACTGATTTAAAAAATTATGACCGTGAGGCAAATTTCACCAAATGCTAACCTTGTACAGCATATATTTGATTTTTTTTTTTAACTTACATCCAAATTTGAGTGGTGATCAGGAAAAAAAAGTCCTGAAAGCTAACTTAGTTTTGTCTTATTTTCTTTTCTGTGTGCAGCCTCTACATGTTGGTTTCACTGGAGATGTTGGTGGAAACACTATAGTAGTCCGTTGGTACAGGAGGAAGACTAATTTGCATCATGTAGGTCGTGAGTTTCTTTCGAGTATCAATTCATTCTGATCTCATTTTTTGGGTCACTGAATAAAATTGTTGAGGTGTAACATCTTCGAGCAGATTTATTCATTTCGTGTTACTATTAAATATACAAAATGTTCATTCATTTATAGTCCCTTTCGTTTGAAATATATTTAGATGGTACCTTCTTTCTACCTCTCGAATTACTTATTCACTTTTCTCTACTCTGAAAACAAATGGCAAGTTCTGAGCATGTTTGCCTCTTCTTAGATTTTAACTGTCAAATGATACTAGAGAAGTTGTATGTGCATCTTAATCTGTATGAGCATAAGAGAAGAGGTGTATCTTTAAACTTAAACTATTTATGTGAACCATGCACAAATTAGATATCTGTTTAGAAATAGTCACTGTAACTTCTTGAATTTACTTCATTCAGGTATGGGATACCATGATTATTGAATCTGCATTGAAGACATACTACAAATCTGACCTCACGTTAATGATACAAGCTCTTCTGAGAAACATCACTGTAAGTTTTAGTTGAGTCTTCATGCAAAGTATTAAATATCTATTCATTAGAGATATGACCTTTACATTTCTAAAGGTGAAGTTGGGAATTGTTATATTGTGCATGAATTGTGGGAGGATTTCATCATCCCAGTGCCACAGTCGCTCATTGAAAAGAGTCTCACACTCTGTTTTATTCTCTTAAAGAAAATATTACTATCCTTTCAGCATAAACCGAGTCTCTGAAGTCGTAGTCAAAATCTACTTCACATGGATTCCACTTTCTGATCCAGCAATATGTAACATATTGTTTTCCCTAGCTTATCTAGAAAATCTTTCTGCAGTATATATGTAAATGGAGATAGTTTAGCAGAGAAAATTAAATTAAAAAAATTCTTTCCCGCCAAATGATCTTTTCTTTTCAAGAAATAAGATGAATGTTACAAAATGGATGTTCAACCACTATCTCTAAGGGGAGTTGCTTCGGTGACCGGAAGTTCCTCAACAACATGTAATTGAGATCTCTACCATGCCTCTTCAAGTTCATGCAATTTTTGTTTTTGTTTTGATTTTTGAATGTATAGAAAGCACCAACTCTCGAACTTGCTAAGCTCAAAATTTAGCAGTTTGAGTATGTCTCTTTTCACTAGCTTCTCAGGACCTGGAGAAGACATTGTGTTCTTGATGCTTGTCAAAAGAAAAGAAACGGTTTAATTGTTGATCCTGTCTTCTATTCTCTTTATTCCCGTCATCACTTGTAATTTATGTATTTGTAACTGGAAATAGGATGAATGGTCCGATGATGTTCCATCTTGGGAAAATTGCAAGAAGATGGTCTGTCCTGACCCGTAAGTTTATTCTTTTTCTTTTCCTTTTGGTCCCTTAGAACCTGCATCCCGTTCTCCCGCCCTCTTTTCTTTGTGGATTACGGTGTTTTGATCTTTGACTTTGCTCAATATATGGTCAGAGCAGAGCTAGATGATTTTTATTTCTTGTGTGGAGAATCTTAAGGTAAATATTATTAAAAAAGTGACACCAAGTAGGTGTATTGGTGTGTGCATTACAAAAAGCAAAACCTCAAGACCTTACTCATGCAAGGAATTGAAGAATTCTATCAATATATCCACATCAATTACATTTGTCATCTTGCACCAGTATGCTAATGTAGAGATACAATTTTTTGTAAGTATTTATTTATGAGTTCTTGTCTTCAAGGATTATTGAGTCTCGCATTATAGGGGTGTGATCCTTGCATACATACGTACATACATACATATATATAAAAACAGCGCACTACTTTGAGGAACATGCTTTTACAGGTATGCTTCTGAAAGTGTCCGTTTGGCCTGCAAATTTGCCTACAGAAATGCAACTCCGGGAAGCACTTTAGGAGGTAAAAACTGATTCTCTGGTCTTCTTTCACTTTCTGGCATTTATTTGAATGACATGCTTGACATTCATAAAGATCCAACATTATGTTGGAAAACCCTCTAAATCTTAATTGTCCAAGTAGATCAGTAAAAGATTAAAGACGAAATTGCTTTATGAACAAGGTTCGCTTCTTAATCTGAGTGTCATCAGGGAAAGCCTTTTCTTTGTGGCTCTGACTATGGGAAAACTCAACTTAGAAGAAAATATTCAGTCATGCTATGGTCTGTAATAATTGAGCTCTTGACGCTGTAATGAAATTTGAATTGATAATTATCAACCAATTCTTGAACGTGCTGTTACGTGATGTTGGGAAGTCCTTTTTGCCCTGGTTGATAATAATTAGACTGATGTGTATATCTTTAGTAGTTGTCGTCCTTATCTCTTCACTATTATTACACGATCTTGCTTTGCCTTTAGATAGGTCCATTTTCTTAACAACTTCTCTCTACAAATCAACTACCTACACATGTATTGATCGATATGTGCATGGAATGATGGGAAGCCTAGCTATGTACAGTTACAGTCTTTCTGTAACAGTAATTAGCTGACATTGACCAAGCCTCCGTATGCATCACTAAAAATTACACATGACTATATTCAGTATAATGCCATGTCTCTTAGTTCACTAATCTTCAATTATCTGTTTGTTGCCTAGACGATTACTTCCTTTCTCGGCTTCCTGTTGTGGAGAAGAGGTTAGCGCAAAGTGGGATCCGCTTGGCCGAAGTTCTCAACAGAATTTTCAGTAAGCAACCATTTGCTGCACAATGAAGATAACAGCGAAGTAATGAAGATAAACTGCAGAAGAAAGTCACAAGTAGGGGACCACGCAATGCAACTTCTTTCGTAACTTGGAGTTTCCCACACTTCAAGAAATGAAGCCTACCTAAAATGCCTTATAAGTCAACCATTACTTAAAAAGGTGTAATAAAATGTACCTTCAAATATACAAGTCACCACATGTGGTAGATGCTGCAGTCACATTAGAATATGCTCTATGTTGCTTTTATGAATAATCTACTTCTATTTACTTAAGATAGGAGGAACCGTTAGCTTGTACACAATAAGAACTATATTGAACATTTTGTATATATATATATAGAACAAGCTCATCTTAGTGGGACATTTCTGTTTCTTGGTACCTGTCAAGTTATAAATCCATTTTTACTTCTTTGAGGATGTTGAGGTTAACATCATTAAGCATTATTTTCTTTATCTGCTTTGCTTTTATTACCCAACCTGGTGTTAAAGCATGGAGCAAAGAGGGTCATATGATGACTTGTCGGATCGCCCAGGTATACATGTATATATAATTTCTTGATATTCATTAAGCAAAACAAAACTTTTAATTCTCCTAATTCTCAAATGTCAATTTTATTCTGTTAACGTAAATATTTTAAGAAGAGTTATTTCATGTGAAAATAGGACCTGTTGAATGATGAGGCAGCTCATGCAGTTAAGATGTTGTTGCCGGAATATGTTAACGGCGACTTATCGGCACTCTGCGTGTGGCCGGACCAAGTCCGGCATTGGTATAAATATAGGTGGTCAAGCCCTCTACACTTCATTGATACCCCTGATAAAGCTTGCAACTTTGACTATGATAGTAAGTCAAATGCTTATATCAAAAATGTGATGTCTTTTCTCTTTTTTCACATTTTGATCCTATAATATTATTACTGGGCAATGAATTCATAGTGTTATTTTATATGGTGAAAAGGGGACTGTCACGATCAACATGGAGTGAAGGATATGTGTGTGGCTGGTGCAATCCAGAACTTTACCGCTCAGCTCTATCATTACCGAGAGGGAACTTCGGATCGCCGATGTAAGAATCAAAATAGTAAATTTTTTATACTGTCAGTAAATAAAACTGAAACTCGAGAGAACTTAAAATTAACTAATTTTACCCATGAAGATTGATGTTCAAGAGCTTGGTGACATTTTCTCGATTCAGTTATGATTCGTTTTAATTAAACTTTTGGGGTTTGATAATTACAGATAATATGACAGAGGCCTTGTTATTCTTGTCACATTTCATGGGAGATATTCATCAAGTATGCACCAACTCTTGTTTGCGTTGGAAACTTCAATTTAAACGTTACATAATTAATAGCAGCTTATGATTTAAAATAAATAAATAAAAATAACTTGTTCCCTTGAGGGTTTTGGTGATTTCAGCCATTGCATGTCGGCTTTACAAGTGACGCAGGAGGAAATACAATTGATTTGCGCTGGTTTAGGCACAAATCAAACTTGCACCATGTAAGCATGTATATTAGTAGAGTTAGATCCATGATTTAAAATTAGTGAATTCAGATTTGTGGATACGATTTATTATATACATAAATTTGTACATATATAGATCAGTATGATCCAAAGTCATTATGTTAAGCTTAAATCCGGCTATGATAATAAGATAAGAAACAAATCTATATACTGTAATTATCAGAGAAAATATTAATGGCTTGTATTATTTGTATTAAAAAAAAAATTGATGGTATAGGTATGGGATAGAGAGATCATTCTAACAGCTGCAAAAGACTACTACGCAAAGGATGTAAACCTCCTTGAAAAAGACATTGAAGGAAACTTCACTGACGTAAGAGCTTTGTTAATTTTGTTTAGATTAAAATTGTCATATATAATAATAATTTTATTTGTAAGATTAATGGGGTTAACGAACATACCACAGGGAATCTGGTCCGATGATCTTGCTTCCTGGAGGGAATGTGGCGATCTCTTTTCCTGTGTCAACAAGTGAGTTCTTCCTCCTTTTTGTTTTTCAGTTTATCGCTCAAATAACTTATTTTCTACTAATGGCGAGTTGTTTAGAATTTCTCCACCCTTAACTAAAAGTATCAAGTAAACTAAGAACCAATGAAGAACCTTTCGCAATGGAGTGATTTACTTTCTTTAGTAGGTTTATCCGGCGCAAATCCAAATTAATCGAGCCAATACGCTTCAGAAATTAGATGATAAACCAAAGAAGAAACTTACTTTCTTCTACTAGTATACCATGTCATTTTGTTGTTTTAATAGAAAGGAGTCACCAAAATCTTGGTAAGGTATGACCCAATTTTATCTGGATCAGGGTCAATGTAGTTGCTTCATTTTAAGTTGTGCCCTTGACCCCCGATTGAATATGTATACCGAACAATCCAAAGGTATAGACAGCACAGATATGAATCTTTAGAGATTTAAAAATAGAACTAACAAAAAAAAGTTTATTTAAAACGTTAAAAAAAAAAAAAACAATATTATGGTAAAAAAATGACTGTTATTTGGGATGGAGGAGTATCAATAAACACTGAATTTGTCATAGTGTAAATGAATATTTACACGATTAATGTGATCTAATCAGGTTATTCGCTTTGTTTTTTCAAGTTGTAATTCCATTATAGCCGGGCATATTCATTATTTACTTTAGTCATATACATAGATTATATATTGATTATATATAATTATACATAAATAATACATAAATTATGCATATATTATACATCCATCGGCTATTTTTAATTTAAGCGATTGGATGGACGGTTATTTGGGTTAATTATTCTTGAGAAGAGAGGATAATAAGAAGAGAGTAAGCTGGGGCCATGTCAACTTGAATGGGTTGAGAACATGTGGATGGGCTTCCTGAGCTAGTCCACTTCTTATGAAGCCCAATTATTGCAAGTTTCGTTGGGCTCAGACTTGGCAGGTTTTGACCCAACAGGTTTGACATTGGAGCATGCTAAGGTTAGGTCTTAGGATGCCATACTCATTGTCTGAACCTTCCCCAAAAAAGTAAGACAAGTATGAGTCGTAGAAATTATTACTCTATGACAACTATATTTTCTTAGAAATTCCCTCTTTTAAAGTTGAGCATTAAGAATGTAAATTTTCAAAATTTACCACTTTTTTATGAACATTCGATAATAGAAGCCAGTAAGCTAGTGATTAATCCGAATTTGTGTTGATTAGACTTGTTAAGAGGGACCGAAAGATTCTTCCATCTCAGCACTCAAACTTGAGACTTTTGAATTAGGGCGGAAAAAAAAATCTCAATCATCCCACTGCACCTCTTGACGGTGAAACTTACCACTTCAATAATAATTGTACCTTTTCACTTGTCATACTGCTTATATGAAACTTACTTTTGAATGGTTCAGGACAAAAAGCTCCTTCAGACTAGGAAAGTTAAGGTGGAAATCCAAAGATAGAAAAGTCATAGTGTCAAATGTTAGTGTCCAATTTTAATGTTGGTGTTGCCCACTTGTCCTGCTAGTATACGCCAGAAGCGTTAGTTTCCGCTAATTGATGGCGTACAATATTTCAAGACTTTGACAAAGTAAAAAAGAAGATATTTGAGAAAGAACTTTTAAAAAAAAACATGCATCCAGAAAATTTAAGAAAAAGAACAAAGAAAAAGGAAAAATAATATTTGATGTGATTTTCCAGGTTTGCTACGGAAAGCATTAATATAGCTTGCAAATGGGGATACAAAGGTGTTGAAGCTGGTGAAACTTTATCAGGTATATAAACAAATTGGAAAATAAATTATAACATTCCCTCCGTTTTAATTTATATAAATTTATTTGACTGGGTACGGAGTTTAAGAAAAAAGAGAAAACATTTGAACTTGTGGTATAAAATGAGGCACATATATTTTATATGGCTATAAATCATTATATTAAGGTAAATTGTTTTAAAAAATAGAAAGAGGTCATTCCTTTTTATACGAATTAAAGAGGAAATAGATTCACATAAATTAAAATAAAGGAATATATTTTAGCTGCCAAAAAAGGACAGTTTTATGTAACGTTTTTCTTTTATAGATGATTACTTCAATTCAAGACTTCCAATTGTGATGAAACGAATAGCACAAGGTGGAGTGCGATTAGCCATGCTTCTAAACAAGGTTTTCGGAGATTCTCAAGAAGATTCAGTAGCACCAACTTGATCAACCAACTTAATTGCAATTCCTTCGAATAGCAAAATTTAATAAAAAATGAAAAATCATATAGTAGTTAATTTCTTTTTAATATTTGAACCCCCCCCAAAAAAAAAAAAAAAAAATTTAGCCGACAATTGTCATCTGTAGGCATAGGATGCTCTCCAAATAACTCGAGAGGACATATCTTGTATTCCGATTAACCAGTCTTACAGTTCTTGGTTATATTTAAATTCCTGTAGTTACAGATGGGGATGTTAATAAAAGTGTAATTACATGTACCTAGCTTGTCTTATGTTTCAATAAAACAGTAAATGTTTATCTTTCCTATAGTTCTGAGTTTTCGCATGCACACATATAAGGGTGTACAAAGAAAATCGATAAATCGCACTAAACCGATAATTCGAGTCAAACCGGAAAATAAAACCCAATGTGGTTTGGTTTAATTTGGTTTGGTATTGAAAAATAAAATTCGACCATAATTGGTTTGGTTTAGTTTTAACTAAAAAAAATCAAATCGAAACCAAACTAACCCGATAGTACATTTATATAATTTAAAAAAATATTTTATACATATAAATATTTATTGTAATGTAATTTATAAACATTTCTTAAACTTTTTCACAGTTTTGTCTTTTAACGTATAATTTCAAGTTTAGACTTAACATTCTTGAATGATAAATAAATTTTATAACCCATAAATGTAGTAACTCAAACAAAGTTCAAATCAATACTAATGCTAACAAAAAAAATTCAATTCAATACTAGAAATGACGATAGTGTTGGATAATTATTTTAGTTTTACATTGGTTTATAATGAAAATGCATAATTTAGTTTATCTTTTTCTTTAGTGCTTAGTTATGTAATTAATATTAGTACTTATTAGCTATACTTATTTTAGCATGACCTATATAGTATTTTTAGATTATGTTAATTTTCATTATGGCTTATTATTTAGTAATATTTGTTTTATGTAATTTTATTATTTTATCTTTGTTATTGACCAGAACTCACGGTGTAGGATAATACTCGGTATGTTGTTGTTGTATCTTTGTTATTGAATATTTTAGTATAATGCTATGACTTATCACATATTATTGTGTTAGTTTCTTGGAAAACACATTATATAGTTGTATTTTACTGGAACTTAAGAAATATTTGGAGTACAAGTTACATATTTTATGCTATGAAGCTT